CAGTGTCTTTCTAGAATTTTCAACATAATTCATACATTTTTTGCAAAGAAATCAGCCATTTCTGTTAAATTGCAAATGTAATTTGGAGGAATATATTAAACTAGGTCAAAGACTTGGCCTGGTGTTTCTAATCCCTAAGGGACAACACTGCCCCAAGAAACAGGGCAAAAGTCTAAAATTTTTAGTGGTAGTGTGTGCTGGATAGTATGAGAACACTGGATGTTTAGGGGAAAATGGTCACTTTCGGAGGAAGGAGATGGTCACTGAGTGGGAGAAGGAGGGACACCTAAACCAAATTATCTTTTTTATAGTTTTGCTCAGGACTGACTCTTACTTTCTCATCAAATATTCTCCTGAAGGAACATTTGGTGGATACAAAGATGCAACACCCAGGTGCCCTTCAATGAAGGAGATGCTGCCCTCCTACTGGAAGTGTTATTAGTAAAGACCCTTCAGCTGTCTGCTCATCCTTTCAGGCATTTCCTGGATGAAGAGAGATACCTCAACCATGATCAAACCCCTTTCCAGAGATGCTCAGATTTGCTGATGATCATGTGGAGGTACAGAGGCCTGGCCATGTTGGCCTAATTCAGAGCAATTTTAAGGGCTTTAGCCAAAATTACATATATCATGCTTGTGACAAATAGCTGGACCTCTTTCTGACCTATCTTGCTCTCTTCCCCACTCCTCAACAGGTTTGGTCCCTAGGGTAGTCTTGTCCAGAATATTGAGTCTGCTTCCCATGAAATAAAATCCACAGTAGAGCTCAAGTATGAGGGAAAGAAATTATATTTGGAATTCATTTCTTCTAGAGGAAAGGTCAAAGCTTTTGACATTCCTTTAAGGTCCAGTGTAAAGGTAACTACCTCTTCAGAGGTGCTAAGTAGATAAATTATTCAATTAACTGTCATTGGCTTTGAGGGGAACTCTGTAGGTACATTTCAGAAAATTCCTTGTCCTTATTTTTTAATAAAGGCAACCAAATTAGTAGCTCAAGTACCTGTCAGGGACTGCTCAAAATTCTCTGCTCAAATTAGCAAGTAGTGTTAGCTGGTTCATTGTGATTCATTCTCTCTCTCTTTGAGACTGTACTTCAGATGAAAATAACATCAAGTCTTTTTGATTCATCTCTCTTCCTTACTTTCAAATGCTGAAGAATTGTCTGGGTTTAGGTGTTTCTGATTCATGTTACACCATCTTCTATAATAAAGGACAAGGATACAACTTCCTAGCCTATTTGTTTGATGAAGGGATCAATGATACTTGTGGTGGCGCCTGAGGGCTTAGACTGGCTCATCAGCCCTAGAGGTCTCAGCCTCTCTTGGCTACAATAGATTTCTCTTCAAGTGTGCTTGTTATCACTAGGGATGAAGCAGACATTATTGCATTTAGAAGACAGATTTTTTTTCCCCAGAAAGAAGTCCAAACAATGGGCCTAGAGAAGGCTCTTCTTATTCCAGTTCTATATGTCAGAGTCAGACTGCCTGGGTGAATACACACAAAATCTTAGCACAGCCAAATAACACCAGGAACATACTTTGTAATACCAATAGATGCTTTTCCTCCTCCTATTTCCCTCTACTTTCTGACCCTCTTATCACCAGTACTTATACCTCTTTCCCATACCAATTTCTATTTGTTATTTTTGGTACACTGCTCCAGGAAAACAAGTCTACTACAAACACCTGAGGACAGAAATAATTTAGATTTAGGACAAATGTGTGAATTAATGTCTCCAAGATCAGAAAATGGTCTTTGGGCTAGGAAAGAAGAAGGAAAGCTTAGGTGTTGATCCCTTACCTCATGTCCTCAGCTTTGCAGTGGAAGGAGGTAAGTAATCCCTAGCATCACTAGACTGGTTTGAGGGGTCCATGAAGCAGTGGCAAGATGCAGCTAATGGTATGCCTGGGAAAGCAAGGATGTTTCTGCTGGCTCAGAGAGACTGAAAGGTTCTCTACGTGCCTGAGAAGAGCTCAAATGAGCTGACAGAGCCACAACAAAGGGGCCTTGCAAGTGGAAGCAAGGGATGATGTAGCAATCACTTGGACCATCAGCTGTAGAAAGATGGACATATCAGGTGATATCAGCAAGCCAGAAGACCAAATCCTTTCACTGCATCCACCCTAACCTAGCATTGGTCCACAGATTTGGACAAGTCTCTGATGAAAACTAGAGGATCTGAAAATCCTGAAAAAATCAGGCTTATATTAAAATCAAGGTAAGATACAGAACTATAACAACTTTTATACATAAACAATAAAAATTACTTATCAAGCAGAAAGCCCATCAGACTTTTGACCTTTCTATTTTTTTTTCCTCTCTCTCTCTGATCCATTTGAGCCAACTGAAAACATCAGCCTTAGACCTAATTTAAAGCTTCTTCTTCCTTCTTAGATCTGGCATGATTTTTGGCTTCAAATCCTGAAGTTGGGCAAGGGTCAGGGCCTGCGTTCTCCTCCTTCCTCTTCTACTACTCCTCCTGTTCCCCATTTGCTCTTGGCTCCTCTAAAAGCAGAGCGAAGTCTAGGTAAAATCTCTTTAATGGTGCTATTTGTGGTTCTTTCCTACTGGTTCATACTCTCTGGAACACTGACTGGATCTTTATGGACACTTTGTCAATTTTTCTATAAGCTCCTCTCCCATTCCCCTGCCTAGTACCTTCATCTGAATAGCACCATAATAATGTGAGTTATGTGTTCTTTGGCTTATTTCTTGTAACTTATCCAGGGGTCTTCTATGATTTTAAAAGATAGGATTCCTCGCCCCAAAAGACGATCTTCCTGGAGTGGAGGGGTTTTGCTTCCCTTCCTGGCATCAATTTCACTACTGGGAATGCTATATATCTCGCTATACCAAATACTGTCTTATCTGCCAATCAGCCTCCTGCCTTTAGAATTCTCTAAGCAGGAAGCTGACATAATTCTCCATGTTTAGGTCTGCCTTCAAAGTTCAAGTTTTCCCAAGCATTCTTTATCAAATTGGACCTTAGGGCACTGAGGTGGGGTCATGAATTTATGCAGTTTTATAGGAATTTAATGCCAGTCTTCTTCTGGTAAGGAACACTTCCTCATCAGCTTAGCTGGATGAGGAAGGAAAGGGAAATATTAAGCTGACACCTGAAGACCCAGAAGAATCAATCCCCTCAATCAGTGAATTTCTGTCTTTCTTACTAGAGTGGGCTGGGCTGTGATGATGAGCATCCAAAGAAAAGTTTGGCACTTCTTACCAAACTTTGGAGACAGGGTGCTCTTGGAATGCCCTCCTTAGTATGTGGGGGTATTTGTACCCCGTTGTCCTCAGCTTTAGGGCTTTAGCCAAAGTTTTGAGTCAAATGGAAATATCCTATTCTACATCTGGTTATTCACATCAATTCAACATCACTCTGCTATATGAAGAAAAGTTTTTTTTTTTTTATCTTTAATAACTACCATTTACCAAATGCTTATGAAATACATCAAGAGCTTTACATACTGAATGTATTGTTTACAATACTCATGAGATATGAGAAAAACTGTAACCCAGAGGTCACATATCTAGTGGCTGAATTAGAACTTGAATCTATATCTGTTTCCAAAACTCAGTCTGTACATATATAATGATATAGTTACTGTCTAGTGCAATTGTCCCCAACTTATGAGCTACAGAATTGGTGTGGAGTGTAGTTTCACAAGGGATTGAAATATCCTTATGCTCATCAACTATTGTGGATTCAATATATAATGTGTATACCACTATTTCTTATATCAATCCAGTTGAACACATAATGAGTTCTATTTTTTTGTGTCAGATAATGTTCAAGGTGTTAGGGATACAGCATATAAACCAAACTAAAATCCCTTTCTTCATGAAAATACAAATTCATTTAAATCATACTGAAATTATATTTATTGCATTATGCATTTTACCAGTTAAGTGAAACTAAATGTGTAACTCTTAGCAAGTGAAGGCTCAGGAAGAATTTAGCTATTTGAAATGAGTCTTCATATTTGGAATGCACTGATACTATTTAACTCTCCCATGGACAGGATCCACTAGATAAGGGAAGAGTTTGCAGTCCCGTTCTGTCTAGGACAATATCTGGGTCATAGAGAAAATATTGGGCAATCTCATTCGGCAATCCCATCGCATAACTTGATGCAAATTATAACTACTTCAGTAAACTAGAATAATAATTTTATTAATGATAATGATGAGGAATATCATGTGCAGACTACTTTATCTCTTATTTACCTTTTGACTCTGGGACTCTTGAGTTTCTTTCCAAAGCTCTTACAGAAGTTATTAAATTGGGCAAAATCACTTTTGACATCGAATTTCAGTCTTTAGGATCCCTAGGAAAGAGGCACTCATAAACTTAGTCATAATCAAAGGTGTATGATAGTTTGCTTAACCAAAGGATTTACATTAGAAGACACAGTCAGTAGGTTTTGGTCTTTCTCGTCGCGTTTTTCCTTTACTAGACTCTTGGGGGAGAATAGATTCACTATTACGGGGTGGGAGTGGGGGGATTCTTCCGGGTCCTTGCAAGGGTGGAAGGGGTTTCATCCTCTCTGGTCGCCAGAAGAGGGAAATGAAGGTGCAGAAGACTGGCCTAGGACCCGGCATTACTCTTTGCATTTCACTTGTTTCTTCACTCCTTGGGTCAGTCCCTCCGCCCTTGGGTTAGACTCCGGAAGTATTCCGCAGCACTCCCAGCCCGCTCCCATTTTAAGCTTCCAAATCGGAATTTCAAACTACATTTCCCACAACGCCCCGCGCCAACCAGGCTCGCATAGGGTTTGCCCTAAGTTGCCGTTGTAGTTAAAGTTAACCAAATTCACTTTCAGGGAAGAGATAAATTATTATATACACATTATATAGTGTGCTTTTTTTATTCTCCACGTACGACCCATTATATTCAGTGAAGAGCCCTCTGTTGAGAGAAATTCTTTCAGGCTATTGTTATAGCCACCCTCCTCTTCCTGCCTCGGCCCCTGTCAGGTCCCAGGGGGTCCTGGGAGTGTCATTGGGGGATGACCGCAGGCTTAGCCTCTGCAGCTGCCACCGCCACCATGGTCTCCGGCAGCAGCGGCCTAGCCGCCGCTCGCCAGCTGACGCGCGCCTTCCTGCGTGAGTCGGGCCGGGGCTCTGTCTTTCTGACCTCCGTGCTTCCTGGCCCCGCCGAACATAATGTCCAGGCTCAGGCCACGGCTGTCCCTCCGGGGCGGAACCTTGGCCTGGGCGAGGAAGCCACTGGGGGCCCGAACCTCATGTGGACCCTTTTAGGGTGGAGGGAGTTTTGCTGGATATGTGGGCCAGATGGCCACTTGGGTGGCTTAGTCAGGATTCGGGTCTAGGAGCTTAGTAGACCTGGGATCATGCTTTTGCCTCCAGGGTGACAAGTGGCGAGTTGGAGGTGGCGTCTAGACTGGCCCTATTTGGAGCTAAAGGTGAAGAGGTCTAGATAAACTCAGTTGGGAGAGTGAATGTCTGAATTTGAGAGGTAGGGGAAGAGTATGTCGGTAGGAAATTGGGGAATTGAAAAGAATTCGAATTGTTCGTTCTGTGGATTGTAGGGTCAGCGGAAAGGCGTTTTCTGCATCCTGAGGTAGCAGAGCCTGGGTTGGCAGGGATTTTAACCAACTTATTTGCGCTGTCTCCATCCGGCAGTGTGCACACTTCATTTCACTTCCTGAAAATTTATCACCCAAGGTTGCTAGTCTGAGTAATGCTGACTGTTGAAAATTCTTGTCAGGTTCAAAGTCTCTGTGTTTGGTGGATGGGTGATTGTAGAAAGAAACTTTAGAATCAGTCACATCAGGGTTTGGCTAGTCCCTTTACAGTCTGTGTTATGACTCTAGGTTTTTTTCTTAGTAGTTTTTTTCAACCAATGTTTCAAACCACGTGCCAATAATATCATATTTTAATGGATTTGAGGCATTGCCACTTATAAGGTTCACCATTATTTGGCCTACTATAAGCAGTGTAAACAATTGCTAATTGAAATTGTGAAGTGATTGCTTATCAGATACATCGTAACTTAAAAGATGTTAAAAAGTGGAAAAACTGTTTTAGAAATGATAATACATAGGATGATTTGTGTTCACTGCAGAATTTATATGAAGTACCTCATATAAACTAGACATTCAGTTAAAGTTTTTCCTTACTTTCTTGTTTCCACCTTCTAACTTAATTCTTTTCTTGAGAAGATTGTATTCTAAAAGTGTGCAATAATGAGTGTGTACTCAACAGCTACACTTAGTTACCAAAGTGCTTGAGGACAAAGGTCTGGCTAGATTACTTTGGCAGGTAGGAAAGAGTTGGTTTTATTTGGAAAAGTTTTATGGAATTCTTAGGAGGGTGTTTTAGGCAAAAGGAAAAACAAACAAAACAACAACAAACCAAAAAAGATGTACCCATTAATATCTCTGCTTAATAGAGTGTGAGCACCAAGAATGAGGTCAGATTGGATATAGGCCTAAATCAGCTTAATCTGCATTGGTTATGGGTTAGGATGTAGAAGGCCAGATGTGCAGCACAGCCACTGTGATAGGAAAACTGGGGAAGGAATTTGCCCACAGGATGTCTTTTTCTCCTGAGGTCTTGCTGGCCTGAGGGTCTGAAAGATCATACCCTTTAGTAGGTCTGTTGTCCTAACAGGAAAAAGAACATAGAGAAAAAAGAAAGTGTGTCTAAAAGATCTGGTTCCTCAACCCACCCTAGCAGCACTTAACAGTGAACTGAATTTTCTTCCTAAATCCTTATTGAGACCATCCCATCTAGCTTTCTGTTGTTGGAGTGCTTGAATCATCTAAATCATGGGATTAACCTGTTTTTAAGGCTCTGGGAGGTCTTAGATCTAAACCAAGATACCTCCTATATTAGAGGTGGGGTTACAAATGGCAGTGTTTCTTGTATAAAAACCTCTAAGTCAATATGCTATATTTCTAAGCCTATTTTCATTCCCACTGGGAAAATAGCCACAACATCACCTGGCAAACTTTTTTTTCCCCCTTTCTTTTTTTTCCTTTTTTTTTTTTTAATGGTCATAAGTCTGAGGTTATAAGAACTAGAGATGCCAGGGAATTTTATTCCCTCTGCTCTCTTAAGTTTCAATTGGTGGCACATTACAGCTAAGGTCATACGTGTTGCAATATTGATTTTCGTTAAGAAAAAAAAAGCAAGATGCCTTCCAGATCCCTGTTGGAGGGGCAAATTAGAATGTTTAGAAATTCCTGTACCAACTCCCCCGCCCACTTCAGTTTTATACCTTATGATAGAAAGGAAAGTTGAAGTGCGAAGAGAAAATAAGATGAAAGAGAAATATTCCTTCTATAAGAAAGCTTAAAAATTTTATAGTACTTTGAGGTTGAAATAGTGAAGTTTTTAAAAAGAAGTACAAAATCAGGTCTTTTTAAACATGTTAGGAGTTCCTGTAAATTGAGTCTTTTTAGAATAAATAGGAAATGAGAGCAATTATTTTTCAGTCTCAGAATTATATTTTAATGTCAGAAAGTGAATCTTAAAATTCAACTGGTCCCACACCTTTGTTTGGCAAATGAGGAAATAAATCCAGAAGGGTTCCTATGCAGTATCAGAAGGAGTACTAGAACTTGCAGTCTGTCCTTTCCACTTTTGTGGGCTGTGTGATAGTTTGAGCCTCCGTTTTTGAAGCTCTGATTTTTGGGGGGAGGGGGTATTCTCAGTGGTTTGTTGAAAAGGTCACAACCCTGCTCAAAGGTACCACTTAACTTTTCATGTGTTTGTCAAATTGTATAGGTCTGTTTTTTTGAATTGGGGGAGCATTTAAAAGTGTAGTTTAGAAAAGGAGGTACACACAGTAATGTTTCTGATTCTAGTATTTTTTCCCATTTTTCTCTATGAACCAAATCTTTTATTTCAGAAAGAAAAAAAAAAGATGCAAAAGTGTAATGTAGCCATGAAAAAGTGATTTGATTTTCCCATCTCAAACTTGTTTCATAGAGAATATTGAAAATCATCTTCTTAAGTACAAGGGAACAATTTTATTTCACCAGAGGATAGACATTTTGTTATCTTAGACCCACATTTTTTTCAATAATCGCTTTATTAGTACAGAAGAACCCTCAATAGAATTTACATAGTGAAAAAAGTTGTTTTTACCCCCAACATGAGAACAATTATTCTTTATACAGCAAAAGAGCAAGATGAAAATCCCTTCATGTTATAATTCAACTAATGTTCGTAGTTTTTATTGGAGCATTACAATTAAGACATTGAATTATAAACTTATGGTACATTTGGAAATTAAATTACAAAATAATAAAAATATTTTTAAGGTGTGATGTTCCAACAAATTTTAAATTTTTATCATTAAGATTTAAATTTCAGTTTCAGATTAGAAAAACAGTTTGGTTGATTTTGTAGTGTGTATAAAGGTTAAAAGGACAAGGGAAGAAGAACATGTCTGTAAATAAATTACTTCACAGAAAATTTTTTAAATCAAAAAAGATCATTAAGTTTTTTAGCAAATTAATGTTAAATCTGTTGGCACAACATAACATAAAGAAAATACTTACATGATGAGTTCCTTTTTTTTTTTAAGCCATCAGCAGCTTTACTAACAGTAATACTTCTTTATATATATATTAAAGTAACAATGTGTTACGGTTTAGCAATTATATATATTAAAGATTTGAAAATTAATGTAGAGATCACCGCTTATTTGCACATTATAATTCCCACCCCCACCTCCCCTAGCTTATTAAGAAATCAAACAAGTACATTATTTGGATATTAATTTATCAATATTTAAACTATATGAATTATATGAATTCCTTTTGACTAATTCTTTTCTAAACACTAGGAGCATATAAAATACCATCTCTGCAAAAATGATCTCCAATCAAAATCTGTAAAAAAAACTTTTCAATATAATACATTATTTTTCCATGTTTAGTCAAAAGAAATATATTATATCATTTACAAAAATATTTAAATCAAAAAGTTAAGCCAATATGAACATTTGTCTTTAGAAAAGTAATCTTCACAGCAAACAAATCTACTGAAGCAGATATCTAATTTGGGGAATGTAATTCATACTGTAGTTCATATACTTATGTGCTGAAATAGAAATCTAACATTAAATATTGCCAGCAAAACAACTATACACTAAGAAAAAAAAAAAATCACTGTTTTTATTTCTTGTGCTGATGAACCCTTACTCTTATCAAGAGATACCTTCCTAGGTCTCCAAATAGTGAACCACACAACTTCCCAGAAATAAAACTTTCCTAATTCGCATACCTCTTCCAAAGCTTATAGTTCAATATACACAAATTCCAAAATTTAACTAAAGAAACAAATTATAAACACATCATTAATACATATTTAAATATACTCTCAATATAGAAGTATTTTCTTTAATAAATCTTGGGTTGTCCTCTAGAAGTGACCTGTCTCATATAAAAAAGGCTGTGTTCCCTTGGTTTTGCTGGCAGAAGAGGTACTGCATGCATGACAGAATTTATCAAACATAATCAAATATTTCCCAAGTCTAAAGCAAAATTAAGTTATTGATGTTCTGAAGATTTCCCCAACTTCTCTTTTGATACAAATGTCAAAACTTTAAAATGGTGATTCATGTTCAGAAGAGATACAAAATATAAGAAACCTTTGAAAAGCCATTACCTCAAGATCCAGAGTCATCTGAATCACTATCATGGAGTAAAAGAAACTAACACCATAAAAAGTGTGAAAGGTTTTTCAATTCATTTTTAAGACTGTCAGTAGTTCAAAACCTCTATCATTTCTTTAACAAACTAACACTTCCAAATATGTAGAGACAGTAAGATCTGCCACATATAAATCTATAGATCCACATTTTTTTACGTTATTAAATTTCTGAAATTAGGATGTATCTTGTAATTAATGTTATCTTACCAATATTGGCAGTATTTTTCTTTTTTACTAGTACTGTTAATAGTGCTTTGTGAAAACCAGTGATGTTTTAGATTTGATGAAATATGGTATTTACAATCAATGAATATATAATTTTGTATTTGAATACTAGGTTGTTTGGATTTGGGGATAAGTGACAGCTAAATTATGCTGCTGTATTTTAGGATACTATACATGGGAACCACATGAGCCTGTAAATTACATATACATATTACATATGGTTAATGCTATGATTTATACACATTTGAGTGTATCCCCCAAGCATTCATGGGCCAAATGCTCATTCCCCAGTGTGGCCATGTTGAGAGGTGGTAGCACCTTTAAGAGGTTAGGGCTATTTGAAGGTAGCTAGGTCATTGGGGGCACCACCCTAAGAATAGATTAATGTTAGTCTCCTGGAGTGAGTTCTTGAGACAATGGATTATTATAAAGCAAAGCAACCCTGTGTGCTTAGCCCTTTCTGCATGGGGCTGTTTTCCTTCTTGCTTCTCTGCAATATTATGATGTAGCCAAGGGAGCCTTTACCAGAAGCATAACAAATGAGGAGTTTTAGAGTGGAGTTTTGGCCACTGTAAGCTAAGTAAGCCTCTTTTCTTTATAAATAGCTAGCCTCAGATATTTTATTATCAAGAAAATGGGCTGATACAGTTAATAAGTATACATTTGTTAAATTCATGAACATAAATAAATTAGTAACACAGACATAGTTTAAGTCGTGAGTTAGAGAAGGAGTATTTTCACTAACAGAATCTCAGGTTACCAGTTAGGAGCATGGTACTAGTCTATACAAGGCCATGGTATCTGTTTAGCCATAGATTGCAATATTAATCCCACCATACATCTTTTAAGTGGTTGCTATCTATGGGAAATAGGACTCATTTATGCCTAACTGATATAAATTCACCGCCCCAGTTGAAAGCACATCTCTTGCAGGTTACTCAGTCCCTTTATTTCAGCATCTTTTTTGCAGGTTGTGTTTTTGTAATTTTGTATTTCTTTGTTAACATTTAGCTATTACACAGCAAGAAACTTCAGGATAGAGCCCTACCTAGTCTAATTTACTCATGAATCCCTAGCACATGGCAGATAGCCTGCCACCATGAACATTTCAAAACAGTTTTATCTGCTCATTTTTTATCAGTAAAAAATAATGATAATAAAATAAGCCATTAGTGATATAGCATTTAACTGTACTCTAGGTATTGTTTTACATGTTCTCTATATTAACTCATTTTAATTCTTACATTGGCCAATGTGGTATATATTATCATCCCCATTTTTAGCATGAGGCTGCACCTTAAAAATGTTTCCTAATTAAGAACTTACAAATATATTTGTGTGTGCTTCACATATTTATATTTATACATAAACATTTGTATATAGAGTGTATGTGAGGACATATTTAGAACATTTCTGTTTGGACTTATTTGATTTTAAAATATGAACTATATTTTTTCTCTTTTTAGGAAAAGATTTACCTTTGTGCTCATGTAGGATTTTGGGAGTGTACCAAGGCACTTTGATTCTCAATCTACAGGCATCATCTCATATTAAGATCACAGTCTTCTTGTGGGCAGCTGTTATTCCATTTACAGATGGGAAGACCAAGGCTAAGGGAGATCAAAAGATATGCCCTGGGTCACATTGCTGGTGAGCTGTAGAGCCTAAACGCAAGCCCTGGCCTGTCTGATTACTGAGACAATGTTCTCAGCTGCTCCTGGGTCACATTACCAAGGTTAGGCTGACCAGTTTCTAAGAATTTGAAGAGAAGGTGATGCTAGTTTATCCTCTAGAGTTGACCCAGAATGTGGCAGCTATAGCCCTGACCATCAGAATATAACTGGTGGCCAAGTTCAGGCCTTGCCCTGATATTTAATTTAAAAATGCTTATTTTCTCATTATTAGTAAAATTAGACATCTCATCATATGTTGATAATACCATTTGTCATCAGTTATGTTTCTTGTTTATGGCCTTTATTGGTTTGTCTGCTAGTTTAGGGCAAGTATAATCTCTGATAGCACTGACTGGGTGGGCCCTAGTGTATAGATGTGTGGGGGCAGTCTCTTAGGCCATAAATACTATTGTGACCTAGGGTCAGGTGCTTGCTGTGCCCACTGTGCCAGTTCTTGACCCCCCCATGCCCTCCACCCCACACCCCTGACACTCGCTCCTCAACCCCTGCAGCGTAGTCTAGTCTAAGAATAAAGCTGTTACCTAGTAGTTCCGTGTGCACACAGAACACTCCTCTTCTGGATGGTAAGAGTGAAAGCTGGGTCTTTCTGTACCCTACAGGTGTGGGGACTCCAGGTACCTCTGCTGGAAGCACATATCAGTGTTCTTTTAGTTGTGGCACCTGAAGTCTGAAGATTTAGGAGGCATGAGGTAGCCATTTATAGTGATTCAAAGCAGAAAGCATTGGGTGGGTCCTGGAGAAAAATATGATAAGATATTTTTTGTTCTGGAGCTAGCTTTCTTGGGCTACTCAGCAGTAGATAGAAGGCTTGGCTACTTTGAAAGTAGCCCTTGAGTGGTGGGTTGGTGGTTCTAGTGGAGGTTTAGAGGGTAGCCCACAAATTTAAAGTAACGTGTGCCTTTTCCTACTGATTTTTGAAGTGGGAGGAGTTGTTGTAGTAAGTTTTCCTTGAGGTAGGGTGCTGAAAATTAAGTACTTTTTTTTTTCTTTTTAAACAAGTTTCTTCTTCTCTCATCTACTTTTCTATTTATTTTATTTTCCCTGTTTCTTCTATAGTGGGTTATTGAATCTTGCACCAGAAAAGATCAATTTAGGTGATTTTGGATTATATTTTAGACCAACTTTATTCTACACCTTTACATTTAATATATTGTTATTGGGGAATGAGCATTAGAGTAGTTCTTATTCATAGTTTGTGACAAAATTTGCTTCTTAGCTTACTTATTATTTATAGGTATTAGACTTTTAAAAGTTAGGTCTAGTGAGAGCTTGTGACTATTTTGTAAACATTATTAGTGGGGATAATAACTAGTTTCAGTCCCTGGGTTTAATTTGAGTCATTAGTCTTTGAACCTCAGTTTTCTTTCTAAGGAATGAAAATGAGAAACTTCATCTTTTCTTTTTTAATTTCTTTTTCAAGATTGTAGCTTTTTCTTGATAAAGAGAAGATCCTGGAGAATAGAGTAGGGCCTTTTTTGTTTGTTTTTATAATTTATTTATGTGGTCTGTGTGTCTCATTTTAAAAGTGACATTTAACTTTACCATAATGTACAGTACAGTACAGCTCTTGCATTAGAGATTCTGTGTGTATGTGTGACCAAGTTAAATTCATTGTTCAAAAGTTTGGAAAAATTCTAATATGTCATATTTTCTTTACTTCTCAGTGCAACAGAATGCAATTCGGCATTGTTCCTATACAGCTTCCCGGAAACATCTCTATATTGATAAAAATACGAAGGTCATTTGCCAGGGTTTCACTGGTAAGCAGGTATGTATGTGTAGATTTTTATTTAAAGTGTAGATTCAAAAATATAAAATAATTTTGCTACTTTCTACTTTATTTAAAATTGATTCACTCAACAAGTTTTTGTTTTGTGTGTGTGTGTGATGTTGTTTTTTTTTTTTTTGTTATAAGGAATAGAACCTAGGAGCACTTTACCACTGAGCTATATCTCCAATTCTTTTATTTTGAGACAGGTCTCTCTAAGTTGCTGAGGTTAGCCTCAAACTTGTGATCCTCCTGCCTTAACCACCTGAGTTGCTGAAATTACAGTGTGCACTGGCTGCTATTTTCTACCTGTAATAATATATGATTGATGCAGAAAAATTTGTTGTGCAGAAATGGGATTGTATCTTAGGAAGAGGTGCCATAGTTATCCTGTAAGATGAAAATTGTGTTTAAACTTCCTTGAAAATGCATAGAAGTAGGCTATGTTGGAGACTCAACACCCTATTCCTCCAGTGTTGAGAGAGGTCACTGTAGATTGCTTGTGACTAGGTCTTAAACAAGATAAAGTAGATTACTTGTGTCTAGGTCTTTGTACACAGAAATATCCATTTTTAAACATGAAATCCACATTCAGTGTGAAGAAGTACATAAACCCAGGGAGCCTTTTAGAAACAGGCAGAGGAACAAGCACACTGACTTTTTCCCATGTTTTAATCTCTCTGGCACAAACTTTCATCAAAGAAGTCAGTAGGCAGAATTGCTTAAAGTATTTTAATTTGTTTGCCACTTATATTTAGACTCTCTCCCTCTTCCCTGCTCATATCATGAATTTAAATAAATCTGTGATGTGATTCTGTAATGAAATACAACATAAGAATCTCTTCTTCTCCTTTCTTATGGTTCTACTCACCAAGAATTCCTTCTGTAAATAAGTTGGTCTGTGTTCTTCCAGATATTTTTCTTAAAAATACAAACATTTATACCTATATTATTTGTATTTTACAGAGTTTATATTACAGAACTGTGTATGGGTATAGCTGAATTCCAATTAAACTTAATTTGTAAAGCCAGATGGCAGGACAAATTCCACAGACCATAGTTTGTCAACCCTTATCTAGAGGGTGATATCTAAATAGCCAGACAGTTTCTGAGTATCACTTCTACATATACATTCTAAGGGAAGTAGATGCTCATGATTTGATTTTAATTTGTCATTCTCTTCTAAATTACATTCAGTCTATTTTTGCATATGTATCTTATCTTTCTCTCTATATATTATTAGCATATAATCAAATGCTTGATAAACACAAATTTCTCACTTAAGTTAATAATACATATTTTGTTTTTCTATTTGCTAAACTTTGTGTGATCTTATGCCATTTTGACCTCTGAGCTTTTTTGGTAAGAACATTTCCTATGATATAAGCACTATTTGGAAACATCTTTACTTTCTAAAGTAGGTAATGATTTACCTAAATATTTAAAACTAAGGTCATTTTCATTATCTTTCAGTTACCTGCAATCAGATGTTTCTCATTCACTTTCCTAGTTTGGGGTTTTTAAAGTGATTGAGAGCCTTAATTGCCAGTTAGATTTGTTGATTGAAATTCTATTATTATAGAGGTTATAATAAGGTGTGAAAGTTAGAGCTTACCTCCACTGGAAAAGGAAGTCTTCAATTCTCTTTAGTTCTTTCTTTAGTATATACATTGTTCTATATATGAAAGAGTATTGTTTTATGGAGTAGATTCTATAAATAAGTTGGCCTGTGCAGTGCACATTTCTAGTGGGTACCATCTGATTTCTCTAGCTTTTATGAGCAAAATAACTCCTATTCTTAACTGTACACTGGATGCTGTTAATGGAAAATTAAGGAAAGTACGTTACATATTAAATGGATATGCTCTCTGTTTAGCACCATTTTTAGGCCTAAAATTTTGATTAATTTGAATTTACCTAGTAGTGTAGTCTAGGACAGTGCTTCTCAAAACTATTTGAAGTAAAAGATTGGTTTAGGTGGTCGTTTTTAATTTCTATCTAATGTGGATCAGTACTTTTGTAAAAATATAGTAAGAGTTGCAGCAGTGTCACACTGCTATGTTTACAAACATTTTCTTTTTAAAAACATTTTTTTTAGTTGTTGATGTACCTTTATTTTATTTATTTATATGCAGTACTGAGAATTCAACCTAGTGCCTCATGCATACTAGGCAAGCACTCTACCACTGAGCCACAGCTCCAACCCTTAAAAACATTTTCTGTTTTACTTTTTTAAAAATTTTTTATTTATTTTTTTATTTTACACTGGGGATTGAATGCAGGGGCGCTTTACCACTGAGCTATATCCTCAATCCTTTTTTAATTTTTTTGTTTTGAAACAGTGTCTCACCAATTTGCTTAGAGTCTCACTAAGTTTCTGAGGCTGCCCTCTAACTTGGGATCCTCTTGCCTCAGCCTTTCTAGTTGCTGGGATTACAATTGTGCACCACCTTGCCTAGATTTTTATTATATTTTTAATTTTCTCTTTCCCTCCCTTCCTTCCTTGGATCATTTTCTTTTGTTTTGCTTTTGCTTCCTTGCATACTAGCAAGAGTCTGCACATCATACTTTGAATAGCATTGTTTTAAGAGAAAGAACACTGGCCTATTGTTCTAAGACTCTGTCACTTTGTTTAAGTTTTATTTCTTAAATAATTAAGAACTTGAATAGTTGGCTCAGCATTTTTAGGTCCCTGTAGAATGACCAGACAGACTCATTTAGTTTTCAATAACTATTTATTGAGTACCTGCTGTATGTAATTTAAGTGCCTTGTTTCAGTGAACAAAATAGAAATTTTTTTTTATGGAATTTAAGTTATAGTTGAGAGAAATTCATCAATGAAATCCATGAGTGAATTTGTGGTCTGTTAGAAAGTATTAATTGCTATGGACAAAACAAACCAGAGAAAGGAAAGTGTATGTGGAGTTGTGGTTGGAATGGGGGAGAAGGAGATTTTTACAGCAAGTGGTCAGGGGTAGCTTGATTTCAGGGATAGCAAGATCTAAAGGAGATGTAGAAGTGAACTGGTTGGATAGGTAAGGAAATGTATTCCATGGAGAGAGCATAGCAAGATCATTAGGCAGACATAGCCTGCCATGTGTAAGCTATAAGGGCAGTGTGGCTGAAGTAAGCAATGGGAGAACAGTAAATGAGGGCATTCAGATAAGAGGTTCTGTTGTGGGAGACAGGTTGTATATTAACTTGTAAACCAGTATAAGAGTTTGGCTTATACTATGAATGAAATGAGAAAAGACTGAAGGGTTTGAACAGAGGAGTGATATGGTCTTCCTTACATTTTAACAGGATCACTTTGGTTGCTATGAAGAACAGATTCATAGGGGACAAGGTAATGATCTGTTGAGTTAAGGTGATTTGAATTTACCTAGTAGTGTAGTCTAAGACAGTGCTTCTCAAAACTATCTGGAGTAAAAGATCGGTTTAGGTGGTCATTTTTAATTTCTGTCTAATGTGGATCAGTACTTTCGTAAAAATATAGTAAGAGTTGCAGCAGTGTCACACTGCTATGTTTACAAACATAGGTGGTAGCTAGCACTAGACGGGGGAGAAGTTGTTGATTATGTTTTGAAAATGGAACAGTAAGATTACTAATGTATATAATATGTGATATAAGAAAGAGAAGAATATAGGATAACTTTAGCAACTTTGGTCTGAACATTTGTATGGAGTGAAGTTGTTATTAACTGAGATGGGGTAGATTGAGAAGGGGAGTGATCAGGAACTCAGTTTGCTGCATGTTAAATTTGAGATGTGGAGATGTTAGGTTGGCAATTGACAATGTAAGTATGGAATTTAAGACAAAGGTCTTAGTTAGGTATATAAGGGTCGGGAGTGGTAGGAGTCACTATACATATGTTATTTATTTCCCTGATAAGAGATGATATCACCAAAGGCACACATTTAGATGAAAAAGAGAAGGCTAAGGAGAGAAAAAGAAAAGAAGAAAACCAGGGAAAGTGAGCCCCAGAAGTCAAGTGAAATGAATCTTGCAATCCCTGGAGCCATTTTTGTTGTTTCAACTGGACAGGTTTGCAGGGAGGGTATACTGGCACCCAATGGGAAAAGACTAGGAATGTTGGTAAATATCTTACAAAGTGCAGGATGATCTCCCATGACAAAGAATCATTATGTCCAAAATATCAATAATGCTGTAATTGGCAGCTCAAAAGACTAAATCAGCAGGATTGCAAGTTTAAAGTTAGCTCAACAACTTAGCGAGGCCCTAAGCATCTTAGCAAGACCCTATCTCAAATAAAAAATAAAAAGGACTGGAGATATGGCTTAGTGGTTAAGCGCTCCTAGGTTCAATCCCTGGTACAAAATACTGCTGCTACTACTACTAATGCTTTGGTTGAGGAGGGAAAGTGAATGGATAGGGAAATAAAGAATGATGGGTGGACACTGTTAAAGACTAACTGATTATTAACTTAAAGCGAGAAACTTGAGAATGGATTTGTTTTTTTTCTAACCATTGTTTGGTGGCACATGTACAATCTTAGAGTAGATGGAAACTTGGATTTAACCAAGTTGTCATCTTGTCATATGTGTAATTTGAAGTGTGAGCGAGCCAGGGTTTTTATGTGAATGTACTGATCAACTATGGATTTTAAATTGGATAAAGAAGTATGTGAGGACATGAGTTGTTGAGGAACAATGAAAAGGAGATCATCTTTTAAGTAAATAACAGGTTGTTTGTGATGATCAGCCAAATTTGAAAACCGAATTTTAAAAAGACCGTTTTAATAGCTATTTTGGCTTCACTGACACCTGTTTTGCTCCGAAGTGCAAAGCTGGAATATGGATATGTGTTATTACCTGAGAATAGTTAACTTGTTTATTTTTCTTTTCCTAAGTTGCTAAGATTGCCTTTGCTTCTCTGTAGGCTTCCTGGTCTGCCTCTTCATGGATCTTTTGCTTTTTCTCCTCAGGGCACCTTTCATAGCCAGCAGGCATTGGACTATGGCACCAAACTTGTTGGAGGAACCACTCCAGGGAAAGGAGGGAAGACACATCTGGGCTTACCTGTCTTTAATACTGTGAAGGAGGTAATTAATGGTACATGAGTTTGGCAAGAAAAGAAAAGCAGGGGAATAGACAGAGATCTTAATTGTGTCCTTTTTGGGATGGTCATTTGCTATTTGAATACTCAGTAACATGAAGAAATTTGAATTGTGGTAAAAAACCAAGATGTCATTTTGGCTTATAGGCACTCATCATCTATTCAGGGAAAAAAGCATCGTGGCCTGGCTTCCATATGGCTTATTATTCTTTTCTTATTTTTCTTCTAGGATGATAGTAGTATAAATGTCAGCAGTACCTCTGGGTACCTCATGCACAATGCCCCAATTCAGGCCTCATCACAATCCCTGAGGAACTTGCAGTTTTCATCCCTGTTTTAAAGCCAAGGATGTTACTAATGTGAAGAGGCTAAGGGTCTTACAAGTAGTCTCACAGGCTCAGAGTAAAAGAAACTGAATTATAAAGTCAGATTGGCAAATCACAGGGTCCTACTTCTCTAAATCGCTGATTTCTTAGTAATGAATTAAATTAACCTTTAGGTCTTTGTTACAAAACTAATATGTGCTTATTATAAAGTGTAGATAAAGCTAACTTAATATTATAATGTTTTCCACAGTTCAGATTTTGCTGCTTTAGAGGACTAATTTAAGCTCAGTGTGTCTTCCAGTCTCTACTTTTATCTGAATTTATATAAAAATTACAGTTTTTTGAAAGAAACCATAGTACAAATTCTTGGGTTATTTAATAAAAATAATTATAGGGAATAACAATACTTAGGATTGGCATATAGATCAATCCTAACTGTATTCCTCTCCTCTTCTTAGCAAAATTTAAAGGTATATCTTAAGGTATTACTTTTTTTAAAGTACAAATTTACAGACCTAATCTCTTAGGTCTAAATACTGGCTGAATAGAGGATACTCTTAATCCTAAAATGCAAAAAAAAGCAAGTATCCTTCAAATTGAAATTTTTCGTTTTACTTTAAGCTAGAATATAGACTGTATTATGTGTATGTATTCAAGTGTGCTGTATTTAAATTTAAAAAAATAAAATAAAATATTAGAAATCATATTCTGTAGAGGAATTATTTAGATTTTTTTTCTTCAAATTTAAAAATTTTTTTCCTTTTAAATTCTATTGTGGCTGACTGTAACCTCAAAACAGAGAGAGGAGATGGTTTGTCAGAATTCTTTGAGACAGACTTTTCTTTTGTCATGGGCTTTTTTTAAAAAAAGAAAGTTTTGTTGCTAAGCAATTTATTTGTTATTCATAGTGACACAAGTAGATGTGGCATTTGGAATGTTCTGTAAATTCTTTGACAGATGTTGTTTATTTCTTACCTGTTCAGTTCTTAGAAAGAATTTTCTTCATGAGTAGGAATGATACTTTTCATCCAGTCTGATTTCCCATCACATAGTCCTTGTCACTGTCTAACTTCTGGCAGTATTTGTAACTCTTAAGAGTTGAGAACTATCATTTTTTAGTAAAGTTATGCCCATGATCTGACTTCTTTTTGGTTCCAACCTAGTTCATATTTCTTTACTTTTGAACCACTCACCCACTCCATCAACATCTTGAACAGAGTTTTTAAAAAATTATTTATAAAACTGGCATTATTTGTAGATGATCTATCAACATCCTTGGTAGTTTTTCTTCTGTCATAGTCAAGAAAGTCTTTATTAGGAATTTAGTAGAGAAAGCTCTTTGATATCTGGAAATGTGAGGAATTATTCGGGGATGATTCTTGAACATATTATCTTTTACTTCTGTCCCTTCTTCTAGTTGAACTGGTATGTTCTTTAGCTTAGTACTCATATACATCACATGGCACAGCCTTACAAAATTCTTTGATTTCCATTTTGATTCAGCAACAGTTTTATCATTTATGTGGAGATTCCTGCTATAATAGACCTGAGTGGATACTTTGGGATCAGGTATACTCAGGATTAAATCTTATCTCTGCTGCTTCCTTATGTGACCTTGAACAGTTCTTTAATGTATCTTGGCCTCAGCATCTATCTTGATTTCTAAAATGGTGATACTAAGATTCAGGATTGTGATGCAGTCCTGCTACTCTTAGAGGGAAATCTTCAACAGTCTCTATCTTCAGGGAGCTTCTATTATAGTAGAAGACTTAGCTGCACAGAGAAGTGGGTAGACAGATACCTTTGCATTGATATATGTAGATACTATGTAAAGACTGAATGTATAGACCAGGCTCATGTCCACAGAGAGAATAATGGTGGTCAAATTGGTGGCCTCCAAGTGCTTTGCATCATGAAAGGTGACAGTGTTAAAACTGAATGTGCATTTTTGTGTAATTGGTATATTTCTAATAAATATGCATTCATAGTAGAAAAGGTAAGAAAACTTCATTCTTTTTGTGAATATTTACTGAGCGTATATTTTTTTCTGCTTTTATTAGTTCACTACAGTTACACATAATGTTGAGGTTCATTTTGACATTCAAGCATGGACTATAATTTGCTTCAATTTAATCCCTAGTACTTCCCCTTTCCTTCTTCTCCTCACTTTCTTTCCTGTACTCTGCTGATCTTCCTTCTATTTATTTATAGTCTTTTAAAATTAGCATATTATGAATATACATAAAATTAGCACATTATGAATATACATAAAGGTGAAATTTATATATGTATGTAGCAAAATTTATATATGTATGTAGGAAAATTTGGTCAGATTCATTCCACAGTTCCTCCCTTTTCCTGTGCCTCTTTCCTCCCCTTTGATTCCTTCCCTCTACTCCACTGATCTCTCTTCTGAATATAATATATTTTTAAACAGATATCTGTGAGCTGAGTTTTGAACATTTGGAGCTCACTAGTCCTTCTGGAGAAATACAGGGGCTTTGTTAATGAATAGTATAATTTCTTAATCATGATAAGTCTGGAATAAATAGGAATGAGGGGACACAAATGCAAGACAAGCAGTGCTTTTGGGTCTACTGACGTGCCATCATTTGAAGGAATGAGATGTCACAGAACCTTTCAATCCACAGTGGCATTCAAAGGAGTTAGAGAAGAGGCTTTGATTGTGCTATTTTCTGACACTGTGAACTGGAGGATGGCAGGAATTAGGGCAACCTGTGTTGTCTCCTAGTGGCATTGTTTCCTGACCCCTAGACATCAATAAAATCATAGTATTGAATTTATATAATGTTTATGACTTAACCAATCATGAAGTGCTTTATGGTTAATGTTTCAGGCCAAAGAACAGACAGGAGCAACAGCTTCTGTCATTTATGTCCCTCCTCCTTTTGCTGCTGCGGCCATTGATGAAGCTGTTGAGGCAGAAATACCCTTGGTTGTGTGCATTACTGAAGGTATCCCACAACAGGACATGGTACGGGTCAAGCACAAACTGCTGCGTCAGGGAAAGACAAGGCTAATTGGGCCAAACTGCCCTGGAGTCATCAATGTGAGTGCAAAAAATAAATAAAAAAGAAGCTCAGATTTAGCCTCTCACAAAGCTAAACAGCTTTGAACCAGTCTAAGGGTACTTATGTATATGATCTATGATTTACAATTTTTTCTTTTTTTTTAACTTTTCTGAAACAGTGATTTATTTTCTTTCAGCCTGGAGAATGCAAGATTGGCATCATGCCTGGCCATATTCACAAGAAAGGAAGAATTGGTGAGTTAGTTTGTTACTTAATTGTAGATTTAAAACAAACAAACAAACAAAAAACTCTGTGCTCCAAACTCTCAAAACTCAGAGAATTTGTGACTCTGAAAATCAAATTTATTTTATTGATTAATATAGTAGAATTTACCAAAGAAGTTTTATAGTGACTCAATTCTATATCCCAAATGTAATTAATTTATTTGAGAAGCGGTTATAATTCTATAGAATCAGTAAAGATTTTGGAGTTTTTTAAAGATTCTTTTCCTGTAAAACAGTCTGTGGACTCTTTCATGTGTTTACATGTCAGTAGTTGATTATATAATAGTATTCTATTTGTAGTTTTACTGCTGTTTATCTGATCTCTTATAATGAATATCTGAGTTGTTCCTAGTTTTAAGCTTTATGAATGAAGTCAACATCTGTCTGTAGGCTTTTTTTATGGACACATTTTCATTTCTCTTAAGCAAAATATCAAAGAATGGAATTGCTGAATCAGAGGGTTAAGTATGTTCAACTCTTTAAGAAATTACCAAATAGTTCAGTGAACTAACTGGCTATATCATTTTATATTTTTACAACTAATGCATGATAGTTCCAGTTGTTTACATGTTCACATTTAGTGTTATTGGTCTTTTTAAATTTCATTCTATTGGCATTCTATGGGCAATGAAATGGAATCTCTTTGTGTTTTTAATTTTAGCGTCCCTCATGATTAATCATGTAAAGCATCTTTTCTTATGCTTTAGAGGATGCGCATATCTTCTTTTGCAAAATATCACTTCAAGTTTATTGCCTGTTATATTTTAGGGGTTGTCTTTTTATTGTTGATTATAAGGGGCTTTATAAATATTTTGGATATAAATCCTGTGTCAGATATATGTGTTGTGAATATTTTTTACCCTTAGTCTTCCAAGATCCTAAAAATTACTTTACTCTCTTAGATACCACAAACTTTTTCAAAGTGCTTTGGGAAAATTGTCCTGCTGGTTGGTTAGCTCTTTAAGGAAATGGCCAAACTAATATTTCAAAGTTAGGTTCATTATGACTGTTTTTAGACTCTTCATAACTGTCACTAAGATACACTGTTTCTCTACAATAATGGATGATTATAATGTTCTCTGTCTTTATACCATGGCTCTTAAAACTAAATAATAATCATGATAGTAGGTAAATGTTGATGGCATAGTTTGCAGAATTGGGTTAAAGGTCATGATTTTTGTTTATTACTAATGTTTCTTAGAGCTGTCAGTCCTTCTGCCAGTAGTAAACTTGATAGCTTTGCTTAGGGACATTACAGGAAACTCCATAGGCCATCTGAACTCTACTGGGGCCTGATCCACATAGTCACTGATGTCCTATCCTAATACATCTTTGAATATTCTTTGGTCTGCTTTTTTGAATGGGTACTGTTAATACTTCATAGCATTTGCTATGACACTAGGGGAAAAAAATAGCTACCTGTAGATCACTGTAGGACATTCATTACTCTTTTCATAATCCTGCCTCTATTCTCAATATTTGGCAATAGTACCAACCTTGATCTCAAGAGGAAGGAGTTGATTGTGGTGCGTGCCCTCTTACAGTGCATTATAGTAACATTGGGGATAATAGTAAACCATTCAGTGGAAGAAATTGTTTCTATACACACAAAAAAAAATGCTTATGGTTTCTTTGTGATAGATAAAACATAACATTTTGTCCTTATCTCCCAGTATTAAGGGTGACAGGAAATATATAAATACTGAGGAGATTTAGAGAAAGAGATTTTATTCCATCTGTTTGGGATGATCAGGAAAGACTTCTAAGAGAAAATAGCATTTAAGATTTTGATGTGGGCCTTGAAAGATAGTGAGAATTTTTATGAGATGGTCAAATGTTCCATTTTAAATAGAACAAATATGGAAAGATACAAAAGCATGAAGTGAGAAATAACCCAATACTCTTATAGGAGTAGGGAAATAAAGGGAATCAAGTCTGGGAAGGGAGGCAGGGCCTGTGCTAGATTGTGTTAGAGAAGAGTTCCATATGAAGTGAGGCATTTTCAGGGAGAGACCTAGCTGTCACTGTCTGGTAGAATTCATCTGAAAGAACGACATGTGCTGTCAGGTACTGTCTAGCAGTGACCAAGATACTTGCATGCCTTTCTCTCATTCGACTGACTGATGCAAAGAATCTAAAGTTACGTATACCTAAATTTATAGTGGGAAAATGTGTATTTATCACCAATCACACACTTTGTACCCCCTGAATATACAACAACAATGATACAACACTTTTCTTACAAATGTGAATATGCTGCATTGAATCTAAGGAAGCTTATGGTTATTATCATTTTTGTCTCAATCTGGCAATAATCTGCTTGGGCATCATAATGTTAGCAAAGGTCTTTTGAGTTCTTAAAAATGTGCTCCATAGCTGAAGTTTAAAAAAGGAAAACCATAGACATGCTATAGTTATACTCCAGAGCCAATTCTCTGATCTTAGCCCATATAAAGTTTTGTGTTTTTTTTTAAATTAAATTTAATATGTTCAACAATTGAAGTTATTTATTCATACTTTTCAACCTCTTCAAATTAGAGATACACCTATTATGTATCTTTTGTTCTAATGTATTGTACAGATTGTGGCATGGGGATAAATTACCTTTGCAGAAACTCAGTCATGCATTATGAACTATAAGAGAAGACCATTGTATAAGGGAAATTGCGGATAAAGGAGACTTGATGAATTCAGAGGGATATTGCTTATGTATTGTTGGAAAACTCTTCAGAAAATAGTGTGGGGAAGGTAGATAGCCTTGCTGAATATGACTCATCCTGGTTTTGATGGTTTAATGGTTGGGGTTCCTGAAGTCAATCTGTTATGTTCTACCATCCAAAGCAGAATTGTGTCTGCCAAGTTTATATTGATATTATTATCTCCTTCATAAAGATTTTCAGAAGATTTTCCTGCATTACTTTTTAATCATAAAATAACCTTAATAATGTACTTTATTCATCTAATATTAATAACTTCCCTTTTCTTCTCACTGTGTCATTTGAAGGAGTTGATTTGGATGGCAAATCATGGGATGAATTCAGAATATATTTAATGTAGTTTACCACATAATAATCTATTACATAAATGCAATCTAATATCTTTGAATTCTTTTACTTTAAGGTATTGTGTCCAGATCTGGCACCTTGACTTATGAAGCAGTTCACCAAACAACACAAGTTGGATTGGGGCAATCTTTGTGTGTTGGTGAGAGATTTTTGCTAAAATCATTTTATTGGAATGTAGTCTCTTTATTGAATGAGTAGAGTAATAATTATTTATTTGATTATTTATGAGGTTTTAATATCATTTAATTAAAAAGATATTATAATCTTAAGTTTAATTTGCCTAAGTGTGAAGCTCTTCTGTATTTTTTCAAGTTTCCTAGTCCGAGATTTGATTTTTAGGTTGCAAACAACCATCCTTTGATGTGTGGCTTCTGGGGAGAGCTTTTCTCCCTGAAAATGTCACTATTTTGCAACTGTGAAGAAATGATTCCTTATATTAGAACTTTTGTTATTATTGTAATTATTTTCAGTGCTTTGTAGTTGTGAAATTCTTTGCCATTCATTGTTTTGTTCCTAAGGCAACCCTCTGAGGTACCTCTCAGCTAAAAGTTGGTTATAGCCTTTGGGGGCATAAAGTCAAGGTTGGGGAGGGCTGAGTTAGCCCTAAGTCATCTCTTTTTGCCACACCACAATGTCTCCCACTTCAAAAAATAAAAATGCTTACAAGTTTTACATTTTAGAATAATTTTAGTCTTTTTAGCCAAAAGCCAAGCCAGTTTCTCATTTTTATAATATTTCTTCAAAGCCTTAGAATATCTTTTTTTTTTTTTTTTTTAAAGAGAGAGAGAGAGAATTTTTTAATATTTATTTTTTAGTTTTCGGTGGACACAACATCTTTATTTTATTATTATTATTTTTTTATGTGGTGCTGAGGATCCCAGCGCCCCGCGCATGCCAGGCGAGTGCATTACCGCTTGAGCCACATCCCTAGCCCATTAGAATATCTTTCAGAAATATCTTTTATGTAATAAAAGATTATAAAACATAGCTCTGGAGTATTTTGTTACTCTCTGAATCCATAAATTCAAATTAAAGCATGATCTTTGACACAGGATAATTTAATGTGATGTGTAGAACAACAACAGATTTGGAAATAGATTTGCCAGTTCCATCTTCTCCAGCTTCAGTTTTTTAATATGTAAATGTAGGATAATAAGACCTATCTTACAGAAAGCTTGGAGGAGGAATTAGCAAATACCAGGTGTAAAGTATGCTAAATAAAGTATATGGTTTGACACAATGGTTGGCACCTAATAAATGCTAGTTTCCTTCTTCAACTTCACTTTTCAGAGATACAAGTGTGCTCTTAATGAGTTTATAATTAAAAAAAAAAAAAATGGCACCCAGTCTATTGGGAACACTTACTTTAATCCTTTCAAAGTGCTCATTCTTAAATGTCATGTATAGGCTATCTCATCACTCACTCTGAATCTAAAGAAAAGAGGGTCAGGATACCCTATGCTCTGTCACTCATGACAGTTGTGCCTTGAAACTTATAAGTGGAAATACTGGAGTTTGTTTTATCAGTTAGTTCCTCTGAGGAAAGAAATTTGCTAAATATTTAATCTCTTCTTATGGTGAAACATCAGCTTATAACACAAAGCCACATTTTCTAAAATGATCATTCTAAAGAGTCTGTAGTAACTTTGTGCTAGAGAAGAAGCTTATATGAAAGAGCTAAAACAAAAAGAGGGTTGTTTTTGTGCAGACCAGGAACCAACATCCATTTACATTTGCATAATATTAACAAACAGAAATAAGTGTAGCATTTTGTGATTTTTGAATATTAAATGCAAAAGTGATGATACGTTTTAAAAGATCCAAGAGAAAGAAAATCAGTTGAAACAATATTCTTTACCTGAATTTCATAATTTATCCTTAAATTTTCAATTGATGTTGATATTCTTTGATTGTCCCAGGTATTGGAGGTGATCCCTTTAATGGAACTAATTTCATTGACTGCCTTGAAATCTTTCTGAATGATTCAACCACAGAAGGCATCATATTGATTGGTGAAATTGGTGGTGATGCAGAAGAAAATGCTGCAGAGTTTTTGAAGCAAAATAATTCAGTAAGTTTAAATTTTTAAGAATATAGCTCTTTGCTATGAATAATATCAGAGTTTTGTTTTAGAAAATAGTTTTATTTTTTCAAAGATGAGTTTTTCAAGAAAACATGAAAGATAATAGTTTTTCTGAGTAGGGCTTTCTCTACTAGACTCCTCTTTCTGGGTTGATTCGCTTTCTTTTCCCACAGTGCCTGATTTGTTTCCCTACTCTGAATCCTCCTTCCCAGGTATCACCTCTCACTTTGTGGTTGGTAAGTTGTCCTCTTGCTGCAGAGAACATTCAGACCATCATCCTGAGGCCCCACTTGATCTGCGCGATGTAAATTTTCAACTGTGTTTGATGTTCTTTCTCCAGGTTGTAGGGAAATAAATGTACTTTCTCTTTCTCAAGGCTAACCCTCCCAAGGTCTTCTCATTTATGCCCTTCTACAGGATCTTGCCTCCTTCTAGTTTCAATCTTTTCTTGTAGAATGCCACTTTCCTTAAAAGATCATGTAGAAAAGCTTTTTCTATCCATGTCCTCTGAAGCCTTTCCATAAAAAAACTTCTGTCTTAGAATTAAATGTGTGAAGGGGTAAATTTGGAGTTGTATCATAATTTCATTTAACTGAAGGGAAGAATTATAATTAAGCTCCTTTCCTAGGGTGAAGTGGGTGGTTGGGAAGAGGCTTAGTTATGACTGAGGCAGTTCCCTTCCCACATTCCCCACTCATTAACTGTACTCTGGCCATTGTTGTGTCTCAGAGCTGTGGGAAAACATGCAAATGATTTTGAGAGTTTCTCTGGTACTGATGAGTGAGTGAGTGAAAAAGCATTTTCAGAAGACTAGACAAGAGACTGGATATAATTTTCTCTTAATGCTTGTGAAAAAAATTAAGGAGTGAATAAATTAAATGTCATGGGGAAAAAATGAATACTAGATTGTTAAAGGAACCTATATTGTCACCTACAGGCCCATATACAAAAAACAGTGCACATTTATTTAAGGAATTTTCAAGGGCTATTTTGAAGTATACTTGATTTTCTTTTGTCATGGTTTTAAGCCCTAATTGAAATATAAGATACGTCTCAACCTTCCACACATTTCTGGATCTTTTTCCTAACTTGTTATTCTCTACCTAATCCCCAGAGATCTGGCTTCTGTCATAGAAGTGATGTGATCTTGAGAATGTTTCTTAACCTTGCTGTCTTAGTTTTCATGCATTAGTACAAGCCTTCTAGAATTTTTTTAAGGGTTGTGAAGTTTGCTATATGACTCAATAACATATAGCAAAGTAGTGCCAGGTACATAATATGCCCTTTTATTGGCTGTTTACTGTTACTTAATCTCCTTCCTCTCCTGACAGTTTTTTGCAGAAGTCTCCAGTGGCTTCCATTCATTCTTCATCCTGTCCATTAAGTCCTCTTGTTTTTTCTCCTAGTTTTCCTCCCCTGGATCTATTTTATGTGTCTGTTCATTAGATGTGAATGATTATCTTGCATAATTAACCTTGTATTTTATACAGTTTCCATGGCAGAAACCTCAGAACCATCTTTTATTTCTCTTTACTCCCATTTCTACCAGTGGCTAAGCTGTGTATTAGTGGTATGTCTAGAGTTAGAATTCCATCTGTAGTTATTTCCTCTGTTCTGGTTTGGATCTGCGTCTTATCTTACTTGTTCTTCTTTGACTCTTCTCTGTCTATATTTTTTTCAATTTTTAATTTTTTAAAAATGTTTTGGTACTGGATTGAACCCAGGGGTGCTTTACATCCACAGCTCTTTATATTTCTTATTTTGAGACAGGGTCTTGATAAGTTGCTGAGGCTGGCTTTGAACTGTAGTCTTCCTTGCTTATCCTCCCAATTGCTGGGATTATAGGTGTGGGCCACCATGCCTAGCCATTTTTTTTTTCCTCTTTTGTCCCTCGATCTATACCCAAAGAACTTAAAAACAGCTACAGAGACACAGTCATATCATTGTTTATAGCAGCACAATTCACAATAGCTGAACTGTGGAACCAACCTAAATGGCCTTCAGTAGATGAATGGATAAAGAAAAATGTGATCTGTATATTCATAATGGAATATTACTCAGCAATAAAAGAGAATAAAATCATAGCATTTGCAGGTAAATGGTTGGAGTTGGAGAATATAATGCTAAGTGAAGTTAGCCAATCCCCCAAAACCAAATGCTGAATGTTTTCTCTGTTATAAGGAGGCTAATTCATAGTGGGGTTGGGAGGAGGAGTATGGGAGGATTAGTCGAACTCTAGATAGGGCAAAGGGGTGGGAGGGGAAGGGAAGGAGCATGGGGGTAGAAAAGATGGTGGGATGAGAATGGACATCATTACCCTAAGTACATGTATGAAGATACGAATGGTGTGAGTATACTGTGTGTACAACCAGAGATATGAAAAATTGTGCTCTATATGTGTAATATGAATTGTAATGTATTCTACTGTCATATATAGCAAATTAGGATAAAATTTTTTAAAACAGATTTTTTAGTGTATTATAATTATACATAATAATGGAATTCATTATGCCATATTCATATAAGCACATTAACATAATTTGCTCACTCTCCTTCTTTAGTACCTTTCCTTTCTCTCCCCTCTTCCCTTCTTTCCTCCCTTTGCATCCCCTTTTTCTATTCTACTGAACTCTCTTCTATTACTATCATTATGTTAATTAGTACATTATCATTTTATATATAAGCAGGATTAATTATGGCATATTTGTACATGTATATAGCATAATTTGGTAGATTTTGTTTCCCAGTTTTTCCTCATGCCCTCCTCTAGATCTCCTTCCTCTACTCTATTGGTCTCCCTTCTGTTTTTATGAGATCCCTGCTTTCTTTATCTATCCCCCCAATCCATTTGGCTTCTGATTTCTGCATATGAAATGGTTAGACCTTTAACTCTCTGGGTCTGACTTATTATATTCAATATGATATTTTCCAATTCCATCCATTTACCAGAAAATCACATAATTTTATTCTTCTTTATATCCATTGTATATGTATACCACAATTTCTTTATCTGTTAATTTATTGACAGGCACCTAGGCTGGTTCCATAACGTGGCTCTTGTGAATTGTGTTTCTATAAATACTGATATGCTTGTATCACTATAGAATACTGATTTTAGTTCTTTTGGATAAATACCAAGGAATGGGATAGCTGGGTCATATGATGGTTCCATTCCTATTCTTTTTAGAAATCTCCATATTGCTTTCCAAAGTAGTTATACTAGTTTGCAGTCCCATCAACAGTTTATAAATATACCTTTTCCCTCACATCCTCACCAGCAGTTATTCTTAATATGATTGTCATTCTAGTGGGAGTGAGATGGATCTCAACATAGTTTTGGTTTGCATTTCCTTGATTGCTAGGAATGTTAAACTTTTTTTTTTAATAAATTTGTTGGCCATTTGTATTTCTTCTTTTGAATATAAATTCTGAATATATAAGGGAAGAATAGCTGGCAAAGGTTTTCTCCCATGCTGTAAGCTTTCTCTTTGCATTGTCATTTCCTGCTGTGTTTTTAATTGGATTCCATTCCACTTTTTGATTCTTGTTTTGGTTCCTTAGGATTGAGGAATCTTATTAAGGAAGTTAGTGTCTGTGCCAATATATTGGAGTATTGATCCTAGGTTTTCTTCTAGTTCTTGCAGTATTTCTGATCTAATTTCTAGGTCTTTGATAAACTTTGGGTGAGAGATAGCGACCTAGTTTTATTCTTCTACATATGGATATCCAGTTTTCTCAGCACCATTTGTTAAAAGGCTATCTTTTCTCCAACACATGTTTTTTGTACTTTTGTCAAGGTTCTATGTATTTATGTGGAATTTGTCTCTGTGTCTTCTATTCTATTGGTCTTCATGTCTGTTCTTATGCCAATACTGTGTTGTTTTTGTTGTTATAGCTTTGTAGAATAATTTGTTTTTTTCTGTAGTAGTAGTATTTGAGATCAGGTAATGTAATTTCTCCAGGATTGCTCTTTTTGCTCAGGTTTGCTTTGACTATTCTAGGTCTTTGATTCTTTCATATGAATTTTAGAACTTTTTTCTAGGTCTTCAAAGAATGTCATTGATATTTTAATGGAGTTAACATTAAATCTGTAGATTGCTTTTAGTATTATAGCCATTTTGACAATGTTAATTCTGTGTATCCAGAATCATTGGGGTCTTTCCATCTTCTAAAGTCTTCAGTTTTCTCTTCTGAGTTTTATAATTTTCATTGTAAAGTTCTTTCACCTCCTTAGAGTTTTTTTTTTTTGAGGCTATTGAGAATGAAATTATTTTTCCTAATTATTTTCTCAGCAGATTTATTATGAGAGTGTGGGAGAAACTATTGATTTTTGTATGTTTATTTTATTCTACTTTGCTGAATTTATCAGATCTAAGAGTCTTTTGGTGGAGGTTTTTTTAGATCTTCTAGATACGGGATCATGTCATCAGCAGACAAGGGTAGTTTGTTCAACCCCAGGGCTGCAAATGTCCCAAGCATACTATTAACTAATTCAAAAGAAAGAACTTGGAGGATTCAGTGGAGAGGATTTGGACATTTTATTGCTCACTCCCTGGTGGTAGGCCAGGATACAATGGAGGGCCTCACCACACCTACAAGCAGGGGGAATGTATAGAATAGTTTGCATACCCACTGCTTAAGTAGATTTCTTCAGATATTAATGAGTACATTCTTTTACTTTACAACAAAGTCCCTCTGCTTTGATCCTCACCTAAAGATTGGAAACAAGAGAAGTAGCCAGCTTCCACTCTCCATTTCCTTCTTTATTACATTCTTTAGAACTTTATCTTATTGCAAGCTTTCCTAGGCACAGATTAATATTTAACCCAACACTTTCCTATTCATATCCCCACTTTTGGGGGGCTGTCAGGGAGGGATCAAGTGGAAATTATTATCACTCAGATATAAGATTCTCATATTTCTATGCAGAGATCACCAGCAGATGAGTAAATGACTTGTGGAGTCCTTTTAATTCTATTCCACAGGTA